TTTGATTGTGTGTGTGCATTTTCATTTTGTGATCTTTATTTTTTTTTTTAATACTTGTATTTATATTACGATTATATCAGGAATTTGATTGAGTAAAAAAAACAATAGGAAAATGTTATCATTTACATCTTATTCATCAATCGAAATTAAATTATTCAATAATTATTAATTCATTCAATAAACTTTAAAATTAGGTTTTTTTTCAAAGATTTATTTAAGGGTGTGGGTGGGAGAGACGACGTATAGATATACATACCCGCAAATATTGAAATGTGTTATCGATAAAGGTTATTGAGGACATTTCCGATCTATTATTCTTTTTCTTTGTTTCGAAAAAAAATTTTATTTTGATAAGATTTTTTGACGAGATAATAAAAGTTGTAATAAATGATTAACATCTTTTATACAAAATTTCGGTAAAAGTTCCTTTTCAGCTGTATTTTTGTCAACTGCTTGTTTGACAGTATCAAGCTTTTTTTCACTTGTTGCTCCACTAAATACAAGTAATGTTGTTAATCCTTGACGATTACCAAATAATATATCTGTTTCTAATCTATATTTTAGAAGAAAAAATCTTATTAGATTTATTATACTTTATCATTTTAATCTTTTACCTATCGCCGACCATAAGAGTTCGCGTAGATTTGACATCAGGAAAAGCTAAACGAATTGAATCAAACATTGGAGCTCGAGGCTTACCTAATATTGTAGGAGAACGACCTGATGCTGCTACAATTGAAGCTAAAATAGTTCCTTCACCTATAATCAACAATGACAATTATATTTTTTTTTCAAATTATTATTGAAAAAATTTGTAAAATACCAGGTAAAACAGCTATATCATTTTGTGGAGTAGTGACATCATCATTAGTAGCTAAGAATAGAACATCAGGTCGACTAAGATAAGTAGCTGCTTTGACTATTTTAAGATAATTAATATGTATATCAAATGCTGATATAACACAATTTATCTATAAATCAGACAACATTTAATAGTAATCTATATTTATCTTCTTGTTCGATATACTATACATACATGATCATCAAATTTAATTGTACTTGTTTCAATCCAATCTGTTTCAGGTGAAATAGGATCAGGCTAATAAATAATAGAAAACAATAGAAAAAAAACCAAAGTTAAAATCTTTTTAAACTTACACCAACACCATCAGATATATGGAAACCTTCACGTCCTAATTCTTCTACCATTGATTGCATTCCAATACAATAACAATGTCCTTTAAAATTAATTGATTTGAGATATTGAGCAGTAATCCATGCCGTACAAATAACTTGTTCCTTTAAAATGTAAACATAAATATATATTTTCATTTGTAATTAAAATTTAAACATACAGGTTTAGCCTGATATCCAATTTCATTAAGCCATTGAGCAAATCCTTTTTGAGTTTTTAACGAATTATTCGTTACAAAAAGTACACGTTTACCCTTAAAATTATATTAAAAGATAAAATATCAATAAAAATTCTTTACATACTAATGTTGTTAAATAATTAAGTAATTCAATAGCACCTGGAAGAACTGTAGGTGAACACCAAAGAACACCATCACAATCAAATAAGAATGTATCATGATCATTTATTATTGTTTCAATATGAATTTCATTCAAACGTGTACAAACTGCAGTCGACATCTAAAATAATATATTCGACTTTTTTAAATTATGTTTTCTTGTCTGTTATATTCTCAGATTAGAAAAAAAAAACATTCAAAAAGTTCTCACGTTTTTTCTTGTTTGATAAAGAAAAAAATGATATTATATTGTCTTTATACTTTCGCTTCTTCAATCATCAATATATTTTTCTCTCTTTGGTCTCGTTTTATACTACTAACTTTGTCCTTTCTCTATTTTTATATGCACGCGGGTACATATGATCCTTTTTTCTTTCTGTTTATTATTATATGATCGAATATTTTTCGCTACAAAAAAAATCCTCGATACAACTATCCATGTAAACTAATATATTTTGTTATTCTCAAACATTTACATGAAAACTAATTACTTATAAATTCATAAAAACATAATTAAAATGAAATACTTATTCTTTGAAAATAGGGAGAAAGTTATTTTTGATTTTTTTTTTCGTTAGTTTTATAGCTGTAAGTATCTTATTCAAAATGGTATCTAGATAACTTCTGCGTCTTAGAAACGCTCGAGAGTTTTTAACAAAGTGAATACAAGGAAAATACTTTCTACTAGGAAAGAAACAAACCATTTTAAATAAAACTAGCCACAAAAGGTGCTTTCGAAAACTAGTTTCACACATTGACATTTCTCCCTGACTGTTCCCTACTGAATGATGAAAACTGTAGGTTGCTGTGACTTTTCCTTCAAAAGTTATAAGCTTTTCTTTCGCCTGCCTTCTTTTAAAATTTGGATAGTAACATATTGTATGTATTTCTACTGTTAATTTTACTAATAATTAAATTGTTTTCATTTATCGAAATAAATACTGTTTGATCATATTGAGCTTAATTCTTGTTTCTGTTAATAGATTAAACAACTAATGCAGAAATATATCTAACTGTTGTATGTCATTTAATCATATACTCCGTCTATAAAACCCTAAAAAGTATTCGAATCTATTGGCTAAGAGCTGCATTGATTTTATATGCATTCTTTTATTGAAAAATTAAATGGAGTGCAGATGTTGATCTGTTGTGAGTAAGTGAGAACGGAGAAAATACTAACATCCACACTTAAATGTCGATTCATATTATTTATTATACCCATCAAAAATTACATTAGCTTAAAATCATATAATATATATACATTGCATCGAAACAAAAAAGAGATAGTTTATTTGTGTAGTTCAAGTGTCCATTTTGACGATTTATCAACGATTATATCTTTTTCAATACTCTTTACTGTATAGAACAAGGTATATTTAATGAAGAAGACAAAATCGATAGTATTTATATAGTTATTAATAAAATAGATTATCCATGTAGAATTGAGTTAATGAATTTTACACAATTGTATAATTATGAATAAATACATTTTAAAAACAGACGTCTACTTCATATTTTGACCGTGAAATTGTTGATGCGATGCGAAGCAAAGTATTTATGTAGTCCTTCGCGAGTTTTCTTCTTTTTCCGACTTTCAGTAGAACGTTTGATTCGTTTACAAAAGTGTCGCAAAAACACAATTGTGATTTTTTCAAATTTCGAGATCATTGAAACGAAGAGAAATTTGTGAAAACCTTAAAAACGTGGTTTGTATATGATAGTAAGTTATTCATACAATACAAAGGAAAGAGGCTATACAATCACGATTTATTAGTAAAATAATTGACAACAATCGGCGGTAAATCAGTGATTAATTGGATGATTATCGTTTCGCTGAATAGCTATTTATCTATTTAAAGACCTATGATTTATTCAAAGGAAGGAAGGGTATTTTTTAGATAAAAAAAAAGTTTACTTACAGCTCATCTGAAACAGTATTTTATTCTAGGGTGTTTCTCACTAATTTTCAAACGTTAAGCGATACTTATTTCCACACAAAAACTGTTTACAAACGATAAATAAATGTTCGCTTATTTCTTTTCGTCATAGCTTCATATATGAAATGTAATATTTTATTTGAAATAAATGATATCAAAAATCTCCGATAGTTTCATTAATATGAACGGTAATAACATTAGATATTATTCATTGTCTATATTTAGTGATGTACTTTTATTATCGATTCCACCAGAATATTCTGATGTTGGCTGAAGTTGTTTCAGTTTAAGATCATACGATGGTGTTTCAGGTAATAAAACAACTTTCTCACTTGGCTCGACATATTCTTCTAGTGGTTTCATACTATAAAAAAAAAGAAATTATCTTATCAAAACAAAACAAATCAATCTTTTTTCTTTTTTACATACCTGCGTAATATCAACAAACACACAAATGTCAAAACTGACATTAAACCACAGAAAGTAAATATAACTACAAGTGGAAGATGCTGTAAATTAAGATTATAAATATTATATTCTTTATGAAATATTAATGCAAGTTACCCAAATTATAACTATAAACATTAACGCAACTCGAGGTACACGAAAATAGTTCATTAATGTTGCTCGAACTAGAAATTATATAGAAAATAAATTAAAAATAAGAGATAAAATATATTATTTTTACCTGAATCTGGCAAATATTGACTTCTTAATAAACTTATAGATGGCAAATAAATACCCACACAAAATTCATATAGACAAAAACTACCAAGAACTACCGGTTGAACCTAAAATCGATTACATTCGATATACATATATGTCGTAAGGTGAAATAATATCAGTCGATGAATTTACTAGTTCATCAATTGTGATGATTTCAAAAAAATATATAGAAAATGATAGATATACTTACATTTGGAACAATGGCTAACATACAGAATGAAAATACAGTTACCATAATAACTACTCTATAATATAAAAATATGTTCAATATAATATAATTATTGTATTCAACTTACGGCAGAAATGATTGTACACGAAATCGTTTAGCTAATGGTTTAAAAACTACTGTACCAAGCATATTAAAAAACTATTTCATAAATAAATATATCTCTCCTCCTATTATGAAACAAAATCTAACGTTACCATAAAAGATGAATATATTAGGCCTAATGGTAATGGTTCACGGATAGTCCATATGTGTGCACGTTCTAATGCAGGTGTCCATTCAATTGCATAAACATAGATTGTGACTTCGAAAAATGCTGTAATTAATCCAACCAATACAATACGAAAATCTATTCAATTCAACATCTTTTTCATGTAGTTTAACTAAAGAGATTAATAAATCTACTAACCATCTCGAAGTATCTGAATAGCATGAATAAATGAAGTTGTACTTGATGCTTCTTTATCACCGTAATTTTCTGTCCATCGTGTTAATATAAAAATTGTCATGAATACATATATGACAACAGCAATATCAAATGGAGCTCTAGAAGATTAAACTAAAATATTATATCATAATAAAAATATTTAGTCAAAAGAAATTGTGTCAATAATGATGTAAAAGAGTTAATCAAATAAAGTATGAGTAATTACATGTGATGACTTACACATATCCAAGTAGATCGGCTGAGTATTCACAAACAAAGCCTACTGCTATAGCGATGACTGATTGTACAACAACTATATTTATAAGTAAAATGAAAAATATAATCTTGAAGTAATGTTGAAAATAATATAACTTACATGAATTTCGTAGTATCTGTTTAAGTGAGTCAGTACTTAAACCACTCTAGAATAAATATATATAAGGTGATAAGAAGATGGATATTAGAATAAGTAAAATATACGTTATGGTGATCTTGAACGAGCCATGCTTCAAAATTTGTATTGTATAATGAATGAGCTATACCACGAGCTGCACTTCCGATGTAAAAAATCCATACTACATTGATATTCTTTTAAGATACAAATCACAATATTAGATTAATATTGGAACGTTTTATGAAATTTACTCACAAGTGAAAGACAACTGATCGTATAGAATATAGCGGATAAAATACATGCTGTTCGACGCCCACTAAATATAGATAATAATACAATTGTTCTTTTGTATGTTGACAATATATTTTAAAACAATATATATAACTTACTATTTATCAGAAAGTGATGAAGTAAGTGTACCCAGAGTTAAAGTTGAAATATGAGCACAAAGAAAAATTCGTTCAATTGTTGTTCGTCCAAGACCATATGTATCGAAAATAGCATATCGATAGGAACTTTGTAAACTGTTACCAGCTATACGATTGACATAGAAAATATGATAATGATTAATACAACAAAGTATAATTACCTGCTGCAAGTGCAAAGCCAATGAGATAATTGAATTGTAATTGTTTGAATATCAATGAATTTGATGATGTGATACTTGACCCTTTACTATCGCTTGCCAATATGTCGTGCATGATGGGTACTATTGAAAGAAAATATGGATGAATTAAGCACGGTCGAATGCGTTTTAATGTAGTTTTTTTATTATAGGTACTTTGAAAATAGTAAGTGGGTAGAACTAATATCAAAGCATGTTATTTTATACATATATATGAAAACGTGGTGAATCAATAGACTAAAAACTAAATTATATTCATAATTAACATGTTGATTTTGAGGTATGATTATTTTCGATATATGATTTATGTGAAAAGCGGCGCATTATAAACTTATTGAGAAAGTAAATGATCTGTATCGCCTCATTTATTACTTATGGAAAGGAGTTTTGCACGTATTTATCTATTGATATATCACTCATATTCATGTAGGAATGAACAATTCGTTTTGATGTAAAGTACGATACATATATAAACGAGTAGAATGAAGGAAAATTATGGAGAGAAATTAACTTTTATTCAGTGACCTTTTGTCATTCACAGTTTGATTTTGTCACATTGTAGTAAACAGGATCATTCAATGTAAAAACAAGCTTTTTAAGATATTTTATTGAAAATAGATAGAATTTAGTTCTGTAACGTACAAAAATTATCTTACTTGTTTTTAATTAATCCTACACTATTCAAAAAAGAATATCGGTCACCGTATATGTTCAAACGATTGCACGTTTTAATGCGATGTGAAGAAAGCATTAATACAGTCATCGATGACTTTTTACCTTTCTTTGTATTTTTTCGTCGTATGCATGAATAAATACATCGAGATCAAGTTCACACCAATCGTTTTTCGATTTTTCTCACGAGGTTTAGTTTGTTTACAAAAAGTGTGGTAAAAATATGAATTTGACTATGCATTTTGTTTTCTTCTAATTTTGAGATAATTAAAACGAAAAGAATTAAAAAATAAAATGTATATGTCAGTTTCTTCCAACAAATGTTTTACAGATAAAATTGCAGTTAATGATAGAGAATGAATCATCATTATTCTTTCAACGTACGATAGTTTATTTTCTTGATTTCGATCAACTCATCTATTTAATTAGTGTCACCTGTATTTTGACAGTATACAAATTTGACTCTATCCAAATATAGTCGTGAATGTTAACAAAATTTGTGAAAATTGATTTTGTTTCTCTAATAGGTTAAACGTAAATGTCTAATATCGATCGTGAAATATTTTATTATTTTCTCTTGTTCACTCGTTCTCTAGACGAAATATAATAAAAATTAGAGTTTCATAATATAAATTAATGCGTGAAATGGTGGTAAAATTTTAAGAGCATCTGTTGTAACTTCATGTGAATGTGGTTCATTATTGCCTTGTTTTTCGATTGTATGTTGATGATGACAGTTAACACTTTTATTATCGCTCTCCGTATTTACCATTGTCGATCTATCAGATTGAATATGACGATTAGTAATATTGTCTAAAATAAAAGAACAATCTCACATATATGCAGATCTTTCTATGAGAAACTTTTTACTGTGACTTGTCGTTATTCCTTCGTCTGAATCTTGATTATAGCACATGAAACTTGTATCTTCTATTGATGTTAGACCACCATGAGAATGTTCGGGCATTTGAGCAACAGTCAAACGAGTTGGACGAATATTAAGAGTAGGTGTTGCACTTGATGCTCCACCTTTTTGACCAACAGAAAATTGTGCATTAGGACCTTTTATCAAAAGAAGATAATTACGATTTTAAGACAAAAAACAAAAGAGAAGAAAAATTAACCTGAGCCTATAACAAAGCGATCGCGTAAATCAGGTGTTCCTTGAGTTCCATCGCATACAGCCCATCCTTGTGGTACAAGATGTGCAGCACCACTCCTAAACAAATGAATATATTAAACATATGACTAATAAATAAATTTTCTTTACCAAAGAAGAATTACACCTTGAGGCACCACATGATAAAGGCTACTATCAGTTAGAAGTTCAGGAGGTATTCTAATAATTCATTGAATAGCATCAATATAAAATTATAATCAACTCACAATCCTCGTGTCTGTTGTTGTTGAGAATTAGACACTAATAAAGTGTTAACAACAAAGAAAACAAAGACAGTAACACCACTATTAACCATTTTGAAGAATAATGAATATTTTCATTTATCGATTCTTGACTTATTTAATGAGAAAATAAACAGATGACTTTTATCTTTGCAAAAGTAATCAATATCCTTTTTATTCTATTTTAGATTAATGTAGTAATAACATATCACAAAAATACAATAAATGGTGATTGATTATATGTTTTTACTTTGTCCGAATTTCAAAACAGAAAAGAAGTAGACGTAACTCATTGATATTAAAATATGAATACGAAGATTAGGGATAACTACAATGGCCTTATATATATATTTTCAGTTAGAAACTATCTAAATGTTAAAATTTGAAAATATTCGACAGAGTATGTATTTATGATAAAACTATAGATAAATAATTCCATATATATAATGAGTCGTTTATTTTTAATAAAAGATATAAATTATTTGTTCGTAGTTATTATTATCTATGAATATAAATATAAATGAAAATAATTTAGAAAAATTTATTTATTTATTTGTTAAATAATCAATCATATTAATCCAATCAGGAAATTGACGTGGATTTTCTGCACTTATAAACCAAATATGATTAACACCTTGTAATTTACAATTAATAATTTCTTGTTTTATTTGAACTTTAACTTTTTCACGTTCTTCTAAATTAACTAAATCAAATTTATTCACAATAATATCATAACGAAGTTGAATTGCATCAAGAAGACGAAATACTTTTGTCATTTCTTTGATTGTTGATGTTATAACAATAATTCGAGCTGTTAATGCTTTCCAAAATGCAATATACTCCATACTAAAATATGATAGATCATCATTTCTACCAGGAATATCATAAAGACGATATCCTTGTCCATCATATGGTTGAATTTCTTGTGTTGTTTCACCAGCGCCAACTTCAGCAAGATTTTTTCCAATTAATTTATTTATAATTGTACTTTTTCCTGTTGATGTTAAACCAAAAAATCCAAAATTTCTTCCTTGCATAGGAAGAGGTGCAGTTTGTGATGCTAATCGTATTAATACTTCAGCTCCTTTTCGATCAAATCGTTGAAGATCTTCAAAAGAATCAATATCTTGATCTTCCATTCGTTTAATAAGTTCATTATATTTAGCTAATATATCTGCATTTTGTTTTTGAAATTGTTGCAATTGTTCAACTAATTTTGGATCATGAACATATTCTAGTACAATTTCATATAAACATATATATATATATAAATAATTTATTTACTTTTATTCATCATTGGAATATTTCCAAGAATAGCATTAACAAGAGCAGCAGCTCCAGAAAGCCAACTCATTGAATAAAGATTTTGAACTAATCAAAAAATAAAAGATTATCATATTTATAATACTGTTTTTATAGGTTATTTGTGTCTTATTCATGATGATATATTTCGATTTTTTTCTATAAAGATGAATAATTACTAAATATTGAGTCATTCCATACTAATGATTAAGTAATATATTTCGATTTTTTTCAATTAGGATATGACTCTATTTCATAATGAATCAGAACAAGAATATTGATTGTATATAATATTATATTACTCATTTTTTTGAATATATTTTATATAAAAATGTGATTTACTTTGTCGTAATGACGTTTTTATTTTCAGAAGTTAATGTTTGTCATTAATTGTCACTTTACAAAGAGACTAATATAACGTCATTGGAATGATTTTGATTATCAAAAAGAGACTATGGGTAGTGGTGGTAAAGATTTTAGTATTCATCAATCAGAAGAAAAATCTTTTGTTTTTTTATTCAGGTTCAAAAACTATTACAATAATTAAAACTGTCACAGATCCGAATTTAATCAAAGAACTTCAACGTTATCAAGAAGAAAATTCTCTATTAGCGGATAAATTTTATCAACTTACACAACAAATTGAAAAACAAAGAATAAATTGCTATGAAGATCTTCAACAAATTAATCAATATGCAGCTCAAAACTTAATTAAACTTGCTTCTAATACACAACCATTTCAATTAGGTGAACGTTCGTTTGGTTTTTTTGGTTTAACATCAACAGGAAAAAGTACAATAATCAATAAACTTATTGGATTTGATTTAGCTGAAACAGGAGCAGGTGAAACTACACAAGAAAATCAATCATATGATGGACAAGGATATCGTCTTTATGATATTCCTGGTAGAAATGATGATCTATCATATTTTACTATGGAGTATATTGCATTTTGGAAAGGTTTAACTGGTCGATTAATAGTAATAACATCAACAATCAAAGAAATGACAAAAGTATTTCGTCTTCTTGATGCAATTCAACTTCGTTATGATATTATTGTAAATAAATTTGATTTAGTACCTATTGAAGAAAGACAAATATTTAAACAAAAAATAGATAAACAAATTCGTGAAAATAATCTTCAAGGTATTGATCATATTTGGTATGTAAGTGCATTGAATCCAAATCAATTTCCTCATTGGTTAGTCATGGTAGATTCATTAACAAATAATACTAATTATATATCTAATGATTTTGATCCAATTGATTATCTTATTTATGAATAAATATGATTACACGTGATGATTATATCTAATTAAAATTTATTATAAGTAACAAAAGATTTATTTAAAAATGAACAAAAAAACTTCATCATCCACATTCATCTCCAACAATGTTCATATTATAATGATTACCTATTGGTAATTCGCCGTCTGGATTTCTTTTACGATTTTTAATACTTAATTTTTTAAAAAGAGATTCACTTTCATTAAGAAGTGTAACAACGTCATCATGTGCTCCACCTATTTTAACACCCATATGAGCACAACAAATATTTTCAAAAGGCCAATCATGTAACATATTACGCATCCAATCTCGAAATAAATATGGACTATCTTCTGTAGGATGAAGTCCAACATTTTTAATTGATGGATGAAATACCATTTTACCATGTTTATAACCAAATAATCGAAATAAAAAATTCGGTTTATCTGCATAAATTATTGTATCATTAACATGAAGAGTTTTAGATGATAAATGATAAACAAAAACACTTATAAAATGATTTGATGATTCAGGTTGTGGATTAATAAATTCAGCACCTAGAATAAAAATATTTTTATTATCATATGTCAAAAAAATTTGAATTCTATAAACTGACCTGCTGGAATACGTAGTTCAACATCTGGTTGCCATAACGTTCTTACAGTACAATCATTAAGATTTCCACTCCATGGAATTTGTGTTAATCGACGTAAATGTCGTGGTGTACCATAATAAGCTGTATTTGGATATGATTTATAAAATGATAGAAATGATAATGTATGAAATGGATGTGTACCAATAACTGCTTCAATTTTATTTCCATTATCTGTTAAATGATTAATTTCTTGACGAAGATGATCATTTAATTCAACTGTATCAATAACAAGAAAATTTCCTGTATGTAATTGAATAAATGACATTTGTGTTTCAATATCAATAAGTTTAGCAAGAATCCGAAAACGACTACGAACATTCCAAAACCCAGATCCAATTTGATTTAATTCATTTTTAATTATATTTTGTGTAAGATTTGAATCTTGATATAATATTGATGATGACATTATACAAAATAAATTTAACAAGTAACTTTTCTCGTAACAAAAAAAAACGAACAAGAAATCAATTCATGTTAATCTTTGTTTGAATCAACATAAAATTACATACGTATTCAATTTATTTATCGGATGACCTTGTGAATAAGTATGACTTAGCTGCTTCATATATCACGTAAAAATGATGCTGGATAATAAAATAAATATTTGATAAAAAAAAAAGAATCGATAAGCAATGCCATTCATTTTTATTTTCTTTACTGATAAATAAAATATTACTTGTCTAATGTTAGTATCTTATTTTCTTTCAAAAAAAAAGAATATCAAATGAAATAAAGATACTAATTTTCTTATGAACTGTACGTTCAATTGAATAATAATCATCAAAAACGATTTTCAGCATAAATTGAAAATAAATCTACTATCCTTAATCAATGAGAAAATTAATTTAAATGCAATGTGTTTCCAATTAACAAACTGTTTTTTTATAAACAAAAATATATTTATTTGCAACGTAAATAACTTTTATACAAATGATTTATGATGTAGTTATTTTACCATCACTCAATGGTAATGTTTTTGTTTCTTCTTCTACTTCTACTTCTTTCAATGTTGATTCATCATCAGTAGGAGCAACAGCTATGCGATGTATAGTTTCACCTTTTGCTTGAAGCATTTGAGCAATATTTCTAGAAA